AAAAAATTAATATAACTAATAATAACTACTATTTAATTTTATCATGAATTTTGAAATGTGGATAAAATATAAAAAGCCTTTGTTAAGGGATTAAAAAATTATGATTTAAAAACAATTTTGTGTTCAATATTTTATTATAATATATATATATATATATATACATGTATTAAAAAATATATAAAAATGGGTCCTGTGGTAAGAGGGGACCCTGGGCGGTTGCCCGACCTGCCCTACCCAGGGCTGGCCCTGTTAATAAGGATGGATAAACTATTTAATAAATTTTCATATACCATAATAATAAAGTTCGAAATAATGTATAAATATTAGTCAAATATATAATTATCATATGTTATGAAAAAAATAAAAGAAGAGAGTTTGAAAATGGAATTAATATAAAATTTAGTTATATATTTATATATATTACCATCATATATGTTCCCTGATTTAATTTTTACATTGTACTAGCTATTGAATATGGTATTTAGAAGAAAAAAAAAATATTTTTTTTCTTTCTTTCTTTCTTTTATTATTATTATTTTTTGGTGTAACCCAAGACGTCCACTTTCCTTGAACCGATAATAATGCAGTACAATTAATGAGCTGAAATTGATAGGACCACTGAAGGCAAAATCGCAGCGAATTTAAACAAAAGAGGGAGGACGTGACTTTCAATTGCGCCAAATACGTATTTGTACTTTAGCACAAAATAATGAAACTAAACTAAGGAGTATTTGGTTTTCATGGTTTTTCTCTTTCCATTTTTAAGAGATGCATTGTCAATTATCAATGTTAACTTGGAGAATGGTTTGTTTCCACTAATAGACTGTGATGTGATCATTTCTTTTGTTTTAATAATTATGAAATCTTAAATATATTGAGTAAAGTGAAATATACAGAAAGTTTATAATGAATGACCGACACAACTTAAGACATAAGCTCATTATCTCGTCAATTCTTCATTTAAATAAGGCTCAATTAGCCTAACGAGCAAACGAACAAAGCAAGTTTATTGTTGTTTTAAATAGACTCAAGTTCTTCATAGAGATTGTTCAATTTTTAGGCTTATTTCAAATTTTGTACAAGTTTTTCATATTATCTTTTTCTCTTACATCATAATATTTTACTATGTGAATATGTATTTTAATGAAGTTGGTATGTCTACTCATTCCATTTAGAAACTATCCGTGACCAATTTCTACTGGTGTACGGCGAATAATGAATGAAAAACGTGTTATACTTAATTATAGTGGATCAACTTGTCATTTTTTTTTAAACAAAACCACATGCTTGTCTTATGGAATGTCACTTTTTTTTAATGGTCGGTGTTCTACATCACTTATTAAATATATGCCATTTTTATTGTAAAAAAGTGTTTATTTTTGCACAATAAATAATCGGTCTAATTAAATAAACTGCCTAATTAAAAATGTGCATCAACTATCATTATTATAAGATTAATGTCGAATATCACTTATATTCATCTTTGATCCCCAGCTATCGAAGGATTCAGATTCAACTATCAATCCAATTTTTCTTTATAACAAAATACAAATATGTCTATTCCATTCTACAGATACAGTTCGTTTCATGGAATATAATAATTAAAAAATAGAATAAAAATTGAAGAAAAAAAAATTACTATTACTTATTCAAAATAATTGAAGAGATTCCGAACATTGGTATCAGATCTCCTGTCCCCAATTTGGTATAAAAGGGAAGAGAAATAGACAAAGGCTAAAAATCAATACATTTTCTTATTTAAAAAAAAGTACTAGTAATAATTTACTTGAAAAATGGACCCCTTTAAATTGGGTTCATACTCCCTCATATTTTTATATTTTTAATAAGTGTTATTTTGAAAAGTTAAATAATTATTAAAATATTTTTTTGTCAATAATAACCCTCATTAATGAGAATAGAAAAAAAAAATCGTTTTGAGAAGTTAAACAATAATTAAAATCGTTTTAAGAAGTTGAACAATAATTAAAATATTTTTCAT